CCATAAAAAATAAAAAAGCATACCTCTTAATCACCCTATTAATTATTTAGGTTTAACAATGACATTGATGTTAAGAGTGTATTTGATGCAAATAGATGTGGAGGTCAAACACACCACTCAATTTTTGTTTGTATAAATTTTGTCTTTATTAATTTTTTTAAAAGTAAAATAAACAAAAACATAGAAAATAGAGAGTAGCGATATAAAAAAGTTGGCATCACTCTAATGGCGAAGGACTAACAATAACATTAAATCATCTGTAAATATTTATAATGATTGTAATCCAAAATGCTGATGATGAACAGATTATTAAAAAGTAAAGAATACCGTTTTTCTTGAAAAAATATTGAATTATGGTATTCCCTATGAATCCAAAAGAAGTCTTGGATTTTATTATTGATTTTTAGCGCATTTCAAACAGATTCGATATATGTTCACACATACTCAGGACGTATACACTGTCCCAGTATATATATATATAGGCTATTACGAATTATGCTTACTTTCGGAGGCTGGAATTAAAACAACCTGTTTCTCTCTATTTTCAAATCCTGGCAGCCTTCTACTTATAGTTTTTTATTAGCACTAGACGTATCCTTCCAATGGCTTTCGAGAGTAGGATTTCATGATGTCTGGATCCACATCCAACAGTGACTTGCAAATTATTTATTTTTATGCATGTAAACGTCTGGTGTGAGTCGGATGACGGAGACATTACATAAACTCACAAACACCATTGAAACTTTTTTTACATCCCTGGCGATGATTGATTGATTAAAATTATTAAAAACACCCTGTTTTTCTTAAGGCAAAGGAATCTCTCTTAGCTTTAAGTTTAAGAAGTGCAGGTTCCTCCAAAGGTTTCTGGTTTTGATTCTAAATTCAGTTAGATACAACTATGGGGACTCTGAATTAACGCAGCAGCAGCAAATTGAAACATGCCATATGCTAACCTCAAGATTCTACGCAGTAAGTAGTGTCAAGAAAATCTTCACAACCCATTAAACAAAATGAAAACCCAGGAAAAAGAAAAGAAGAGGATTTTTATCAAACAAACGGAAAAGCCTGCCAGCATCTAAGACGGCATTCTTAATAAAAGTACGCACTCACAACATATGAAAAACTCTGAGAGGAGTTTTATTAAACAGAAGCATACTCATGCTAAAACCATGATTCTAGGCACTAGGTTAAAAAGTTCTTCAAAAACCCAAGTGGCAAATAGAAAAACCAACAAGATGAAAACTCAATACACACACATACACACACACACACCCTAAGTTTAAAACATATGTATTTGAGATCAAATTTATTTAAAACATGATTAATTAATAAATTTAAAGCCGATTTAAAAGTGAAATCCACTTATTTTTTGAATTAAAATTTTATTAAAATTTAAAGTCTAATATAAACTCTTTAATACAAAATATTAATATAATTTAAATAAATTATTGATAAAAAAAATTAATTTTAAAAATTATTAATTAATATACTTTGAAAAAATCTAAAACTTTCCTAGTAAACTTCTAGCCCACGTAGAAAATGAGCAAATTCTCCTTGCTTATAAAGTGGGTTGGTAGAACATTAAAATGAGGCCCAAAGGATAATTAACTTTCTAGAGAGGAGAACATCTAAGTAAAATGGGCTTTTAGTTTAAGTCCTCGCACACTAATGAATGAGTAATTTTTCTTAATTTCATGATTATTTAGATTTAAATTTATTGTAAAATAATTTTTTGGTCATAAAAGATTTTTTTTATCCAACTTAAATTTGATTTTGGATATAATCCGAGTTTGGTTCATAAAAATTATTTCTTTAACCCATTGTTTTGTCTAGTCCAGCCCATAAATGATAAAATTTGATCAGTTTCCTTTCCAAAGATTTTCATAAAATCTAAAATAGTTTTTTCAACTCAAAAGATATTTGATTTAAAGTCAAAATATTTAGATTTGATTCTGGTTTTATCAGAATTAGTAATGGTGGCAATCAGTTTGGGTTGCAAGCTAGTGGGCACAAATTAGTAATCAACTATTATAAGTCTAATAATAAAATAAATCCTAAGCAATGTCTAGTGAATCAGAACAAACCCAAATCAAAACAATAATTATTGATAAATAAATATATAAAATAGGACAATTAAAAAAATTCTTCATGCCAAAAATCCTCCCTGTAGTCCAAATCTTCAATTTTACACATTCTTGACATATTTTTAGTCCTAACTTTTAACATGTAGTTCTGTCTCATCTGAATTAATTACTATTCCTAATGGTTCAAAAGATTAATATGTCTAGTTTCCAGCTCAACTTGAATTGCAGCAATATTTTACCTGTAATTCTAGATATGTCCCAAACAATACATAAAGGTCTAGTTTGACAAATTTGATAAAATTTATCTAATAATTTTGACTCTTTAAAATAGTATGTTTCCAAACCCTATTTGATATAAAAATTTACAAAATATAGTTTCATATATCTAGTATATTCCTATGAAATTATAGCTCATTTTGATGCATGATTTAATAGATATATTTGATATTGCAAAATTAGTTAGCTAACATTTTTAAGACAACTTCGAACCTAACTTGGTTCATATCATTCTCCCCTTCTTTAAAAAAATTTCTTCTCAAATTTGTATCATGGAAAAATATTTTAAGTTCAAAAAATCAGTATCATGCTAAAGAATAACATCATCATCAAAATAAACTTCACTCGTGTCCGTATTATTAGCCACAAACTCATTCACATTAGTGTTAACTTGCCTAATAGCTATCTTAACATTAAATTCTCTTTACTCAGGCCTAATTTGAATCCTACCATGATTATTAACATGTTGCGTCTCCAACATATCTAGTCTATCTCTAAATTTAGTGGTCATTTAATCCATTCGTTGATTTGTAATGCATAATTAAGTTTTAATTTCATTGTCTCTCTTGTGTGGTGCCATGTTGTTGCTTGCTTTCAATATCTTTGAATGTGAAAATTAGTTAGTTGACAAGAAATACATGCTCCTCACCCACTTTCTCACATGTGTACACTCCTCTTGTGGTTCACTCAAATATGTTTGTTACGCTATTTTTCTTTCATGTCACCTTTCTTTGACTCTTGCAGAACTAAAATCAACATCAAATATAATAGTCATAACAGTATATCTAAATATGTGTATATAACTCAAGAAACATGAAAAATATGAAAACAAGCAAAGATAAAATTACAATTATAATTTCACGAGCAACAAGTGAAGTTATACGAAAAGTGGATGTATTTTAAAATGCAAAAGAAAAAACATACATTGGTTAGATCTTGAGATTTAATTTGGCTAAGCTAATTTTTTTTTTGTTTCTTTTAAGTCTTTTTATTTTTATTTTTATTAGGTCAGGAGATGCATGCCTAAGTAGCCTTGATATATTTACGCTTTGGTTCTAAAGTTTAGGCCAATTCTAGATATATACACATTTTCCAAGCATGGTTTAAATGTTCTCAAGCTAAAATTCTCAATTTTCTATAATAAGATGTTTTAGCTTGACTTTTATACTTCAATAAAAAGTGATATTTATACATGTTTATTTTTTGTCATTTACTTTTCTATTAATTATCTATTTTGGATCAATCTATCTTTGAAAGTTTGAATGTTAAAATTTGTGTTCTTAGTTGTCGGGCTCGATTTCAAGCCATTCTTGGTTTTTTATTCTTATCCAATACATCATTATGTTTCAATTTTTCATTTTATATCTATCTATATTGTTCAATCAATGAAATATGGTGTTTGCATCATTGATTGTGTGTTTAGGTTCATCGACATGTTTTTTGTGTTCCTAGTAAAATTCAAGCAAAAAAAAACCCTTTTGATCTTTTTTCTTACAAAACTAAGAATGAATCCTACTTTTAGGCTTTTATGTTTTGGCTTGGGAAGCCTAACCTATATGGCTGAGTTGAGTCTATTTAGATAAGAGTGTTCTTTGCTTGCTAAAAATATTCAAAATAATTTATTTATTTTTATCCTTGAGAGGTGTTTGCCAAATATGATCTTAAAATAATTTTTAACCTTTTAATTTTTAGCCAAAAACATGTTTAGCAAACATGCCATATTGATTTTCCCTACATTGTGTTTTTTTTTTTTTTAGTGTTTGCCAAAAAGACCCCAAATGATTTCCAGAAATTCTAAAAAAAATTCAAAGATCATTTTAAAATTATTTATGAGTCTCTTACATGTTTTTTCAACTATTTTATTTAATATTTAGGCTCTAAACTTATATTATAAGATACTAACCCAATATAAAATATACTTGCTTTTATTCAAAATTTCAGAAAAATATTTTTTTTTTATTTTAAAAATATAAATAAATATGTTTTTATTTACATGCATATGATCAAATTCTAAGAGTTTTCATGCATTTGTTGTTTTTAAAGAAAATAAATTGCATTGTTATCATAATTTTAAAAAAATATAAAATTAATTAATAGATATCATAACAAGTTTGTGATTATCCATTAGAATTTAACAAAAATTTCAAAAAAACCATAAGAATTAATTTTTTTAATTAATATTTGGTGTATAAATTTTATAATGTAATGTATATTCCCGATATTAAATTAAATAAATTGATAAAAATAAAATGTTAGGTATTAATTATAGATTTTAATATTTGAAATATAAAATTAAATTGTAAAATATATCTCCATATATTTAAAAAACAAATTAAAATAAATAAACTATTAAAATTTAGATTTTAAAATAATTTGGTTTGTGATAGAATAAAAATGTTCTCATCAAGCAAGAATTATTTTAAATAATTTTTTTTTAAAAAACCATAAAAGCGAACTGCACTCCCAGCATTGGTGCCCTTTTCTAATGTAAACTGAACAACGAATGATGATTTCCTTTAGTTTATTTTATAATAATTATAATTATAATTAAAATTGTAATTGTAAATAAATGTAATTGTAATGCTTGATAAAAGTTTACTCTGTTTATAACAGAAAGAACATCTACATCGCCAACTGCACAGCATACCCAACGTAAGCATATGACAAAAAAACTCCTAATAATCGATCCGTGGATGGATAGATTGCCTAAACAGCCCAGCCCCCATTAAAACTGTGGCTTATCTTCTCTTTCTCCCATTGATATTATGATCTGATCTGATATCCATCCACTGCAGAACCTATCCTGCCCTGCTTTTTAATATTCCAAAACAATTTCTTTTCCATTCCCGCCAAAATCAAATGCTTTCTTTTTCTCTGCTGCAAATCCCACACCATCTACCTCTACCTCCCTTGACCGAACTCCCACACCATACTTATCCACTCTCCAAAACCCTTCATTTCTCTCCAAAACAACGGCTTCCTCGACAATTTCTCTCCAAAAAACTTTGTGGGTTTCTTTCAATTTCGAATTCTTCAGTCTCTCCTTCGCCAGAAGATGGTTTTGAGGTGGAGTTGGGTCGCCTTTTGGCCTTATTACCCCAAGAAATGAGAAGAAGAGTTAGTGAACACCCGGAGCTTCTTGACTTGGTTGAGGTGGTTATGGATTTGGGTAGGAAGCCACTAGCGAGATTTCCATCTGGGGACTTTGTTCTATCTGATTGCCCCATCACTCTTCAGGATCTCCAACATGCTACTTCACAGGTTTTGAATTGTTTTGTTATTCTTGCCTTCTAATTTCTTGATAAAATGCGCTTATAATTTATGTTAGTTTAGGATGATGCTGTGTTTTTCTAATTCAATGTTGGGTGGAGGATACTATTTAGTTGAATGATAAATGTTTCGTGCTTGTAAATTGTAATCACAATTTTGTATACTTATGACCTCTCAAAATTTTCCAGTGTTATGTCTGTTGAGATAGTATCAATCAAGTCAGCTTTTTGAGTGCAAGGAAAGTCATTTCAATTTTTAGGGCTTTCAGTGATATTGCAATGCTGAAGCCTAGTAGATTGGGAGGTCGTGGTCGTTCTCTAGTCGTTACTCATTATATTGTTGACATTGCATTCATTGACAAGTTGCTCTTGAACCTTAAACTACCAAATGATAGCGACCGAGGTACTAATCACACATTGGAATTATTGACACCTCATTTGGTGGTGAGTTACTTGTTTGGCGATGTTGTTGGGTTTGATTCTAAGATAGTTTTGCTGAGACATGCTTTCCAGTTCCCACTATTTGATCGTAATAACTGAGATAGCTACGAACACAACAATATACATAAATAATAGGCTCTTGTTGAGAGGAAAAGAGATGCAAGGCTCAAAAGATTAGTTGCTTATTTTTTCTAGTAGTTTCCGAGGATGAATTCGTGGAAATACCTTATTTTCTGTCAAGTTTTGAACCATATAACTCATTTTATTTTCTTTGGAGAGCTTCTTTGTATGAATGGTTGCAAATTAATCTCAACCTCATGGCAAGATCACATCTCTACAATATTCTTAACTCTTTAAAATTTGAAAACTTTTCTGCTACCACGTATTATCCTTGACAAATCTTAGGTTTATATATATTTCACATAACTAGAGATAAAAAAAAGATACAAGGGTAATATTGCAATGTCCAAGTAACTCATTGGTCTAACAATGCCGTGCAACATAGTCCTCTCCATGCGGTGAAAGAACTTAAAAATCAAGTTATCAATAGTGGATTAAGTAGGGAGTTATGTACATGCTCACTTTCCCTTCTTTTTCTGATGACCTGTTCTTCAGCTTTTGACCTAGCAGGATTCTACTGGTGGTTTCCACCTGCTAACTAACTTGTAAAATTTCTCTTGAAATAGACAAGTCCATTGTATAAAGCTGAGGTCGAAGCTGTTAATAATAGGTTTCTAAGGTGTGTACAACATTACTTTTCCTTCTCTTTCTGATGTGGGGCTGTAATATTTCAAATGTTGTACCGCTCATGACATGAGCTAGATACAGCAGCTCCACTCCATGCTTCTTTCACAACTACATTACTGGTAGCTTGTTTTGTCATCATGGAATGCATATTCTTTGTATACTCTAAATTCTTTTCATGTTTTTACTCACCACTTGAATACATTGTGTTGAGGATTCAACGAGTTCTATTTTATAATGTTTGTGATTCAATTTTGATAATATATTTTGTTATTTTGATTGATTTAGTGTCTTTGTTATTTCATTAGTAGTTTCTTTATCATCATCATCTTTGTTGTCACTACTTTAAAGGATTTGAATAATAGTATACCATTCTTTATAATTCTTAAATTATCAATACTGGCGACATTTGTTTTTGAGAAAGTAAAGAAAAAATAAAGGATGCTTCGACTGTATTTCCAACATTTACTAACTGAAAAGAAAAGAAAAAAGTTCTAAGTTTTACATAATAAGTTTGACAAATTTAATTTTCAGAATTAGGAGGAGAAATGAGTTGGATGAAATTTGAAGTCTTGAACCATTTATCAAAAGTTCAAGGAGCATAATTTCGAGTTTAGTCCCCTAAGGAGAACGACCTAGATTCTTCACTAAATTTTTATGATCCATTTTTCAAGCATTTCCCTCTCTGCTTTTTTATTTTGCTTAAAGTCCTGGTTTGAATTTTTTATTTTTAATCTTCAATAGCAATATTTTAGTTAAGCTATCACTACCTCATTCTTCCATACTATATAAATGTTTTTTTGTTTGTTTTGTTTTTTGTTTCCCTCTTGATTAATCATTAATGGGAAATAAAGGCTTTTGGCTTACTAGAATGGCATAGTGTAGGTTGGTGACTTTGCTATTGACAATCGAGCAGGCATCAGCCAGACATTGCATCGCATTAGTGCCATAAGAAATCGAGAGGGCCAAATCATTGGTCTTACTTGTCGTGTTGGTCGGGCAATACCAGGTAGTGCTAGTTTGCTGAGAGATTTAGTTCACGATGGTGCTTCCTTTTTGTTTATTGGTCCTCCAGGGGTGGGAAAGACTACAATTATCAGGTTAGCTGTTCTTGTTTTTAATGGACATTATATGATTTCACACAAAAGCTTTTATTTTGTTCTAAATTGATTTCTGCATCGAGTTGTTATGCATTAAAAGAAATGAGCAATTGCCTACGTTGTAATTTGGTTGAGGAGTGTTTTGAGCATTGTAGTGAGCTACTGACTCTTGATTATAGGTTTTATTTAGAAGAAGAAAAATGATTCTTGACTCTTGATTATTGAAGGTTTTATTTAGAAGAAGAAAAATGATTCTTATTTTATTTCACCCGAATCTACTTGCCTGCCTAATTAAAGTGGGCATGCTACTTTTAGATGTGAGACTTCGTTAATGAATTGTGTCCTAAAAGAAATAAACTATGTCACAGTCCCATGTTATAAAGAACCATGGTGCTCTACTTTTAGAGCAATGTATAATAGTTTTAGTTTTGGAAAATTTAGTATTCTTCTATAGGTTTTTGCTTTCTTAAAATTCCCCCCGGCTAACTTGTTTGTTTTTCTTATGCTTTTCAATTTCTCAATGCCCTTTATTTCACCACTACTGTTGGCTCAGACCATCTTTGCATTTGTTATTCGTCCTTAAATATTTCTATGCAAATGTTTTGTTCCATTTCTGAAGACATCTAATATCCTGGGCGTGGGAAAATAGATGAAGTCGAAATATGCTATCTTTTGCTTATATTTTGTAGCAGGAGAGAATTTTCATTGCTGAATTTATTATTTGCTTATAGATGGTGTAAACTAGTCTTACTCGGGGATTTGAGTACCGAGTTTGCATCTGGACTGTTCTAATAGTGGATTTTTGCTACTCTTGGTGCATCCATCATTCTTTAGGGTGACCTAAAATCCTAAGTTTTGCAGGGAAATCGCTCGAATGCTTGCAAATGATTACAAGAAACGAGTGATGATTGTTGATACATCCAATGAGATAGGAGGCGATGGTGATATACCTCATGCAGGAATAGGCAATGCTCGACGGATGCAAGTTCCTGATTTAGATATGCAACATAAGGTATAGGCTGGAAGTGTGTGATCTCCTTTATGGGCCTGTCTACAGTGCATCTATTTTCATGAAACAAAGTTGACTAGTCGGAGTTTGATAAGAAATGTTGTTAATGACATTGATAGATAATTCAATTATAAAGTGACATGACTAGCATTAATTAAGCATATATGCATATTATGCCCTTGGGAAATGAAATCTCTGAAGCATATAACACTACTGTTTAGTAATTGGCATAGGATCATTGTACTACTACAATGCATGCCATTTTTTTTTTAGTTTTGTACATATGATCATTTTACTACTACAATGAGCAATGCATGCCATTTTTTTTTTAGTTTTGTTCACAACATGATTTTATTGTTTTTACTTCCTAATCTGGAGATCTAGATGTGCTATTTTGTAATTTTATTGTCAGCAGGGGCAAATGCTTACAAGTTTATAATGTTTAGGTATTAATAGAGGCAGTTGAAAATCATATGCCACAAGTGATTGTGATAGATGAAATTGGGACAAAACTTGAAGCAATGGCTGCAAGTACAATTGCACAGCGTGGGATTCAGCTAGTAGCCACCGCTCATGGAATCACAATAGAGAATTTGATAATGAATCCTTCTCTAGAGATGATTGTTGGAGGATTACAGGTAACATTATTTTCTTCAATGAAAGATGAGTAATTGGTTTGTGTATTTGCCATACTATATGTCAAGGGCTCTAACTTTTATGTTGTAATCTATGAAGTGTGCAAACTGTCATATGCTAATAGTTCCTAATGCTATTGGGTGTTGATTGTGAAAATTTTGAAATAAAATGAGCTACAATGGTGTTACTGTGATAATGGTGTTTGGATGCATGCATTGATATGTTGAACATGAAAGTAAATTTCATCATTGCCTCGCTTATTCATATAAATGTTATGGTACATGAAATTAACTAATCTAACCTTTGAGATAATCAATATTTTTTCGTACCTGATGAAATGATTCCTTATTGTTAGACCTGTAAAAATGACCCAATCTGCTGTATCTATGGTTGAGAATGATCTCAATACTAAAATCCTCTTTTGTATCAAGTTAAACTAATTAACTTATTGACATACTTCCTAGTTCAACTTATAATTTTTCTCATATAATGTGAAACTACTCAAGCTGAAGTCTAGATGGGCTCAATAAAACTCAAGATGAGTAGCACTATAGATGAACCAAGTTTTGGAAGCTTAAAACTTGACTTGACTTGACTTGTTAAATCACTAGGCAATTGTCTTTCTTGGTTTTCTTAGATACTGTTGAAGCATGTGAAAGGGTTGTGTTTGCTGCAATATTGATCGAAGTTTCATCTTCCACCTTTTGTCTTTCTTGTTTGTTTTCCCATTTTCTTTCCCTCTAATACACCCAACTTAACAAAATGGTCTTGTTTCTACATCAAGACACAAAAGTATGAAAGAAATTTGTGTTTTTTCTCCTTTTCACCTTTAGAGACCTCCATTATTTAGTAATTTGTAAGGCTGATTTTCAACAATTTGAGGGTTGATTTACAAGGCATTAATCTACTTAAATAAGGGTTGATTTGCATCAATTAGGAAGCTGATTTATAGGGATGATTATTAGGAATTAATGTCTCTGTGGAATTATTAGAGTATGAAAATGATATTTCTCTTATTCTTAATGCATTAATGCATGAGTACAATATGTATATACATAGGTTTAGGATTAATCTAAATCCCTAGAATCAAGCTATAATTGAATGCCTATAAATCAACCCTGCAATCAGCCCTATAATTGATAACCCTATAATTGATTTACTCTATTTAGAACAATAATCAATGCTATAATTGATTTACTATATTTACAACACTTCCCCTCAAGCTGGAGCATATATGTTAATCTTGCCCAGCTTGTTACAAATATATTCAATCCTAGGACCACTCAAAGCTTTAGTGAAGATATCACCCAACCGCTCCGTAGTTCTGACATGACTATTAGAGATCAAATTTTGATGAATTTTCTCATGGATGAAGTGACAATTAATTTCAATACGCTTAGTCCTTTCATGAAAAATTGGATTTGATGTAATGTGAAGAGCAGCTTGATTGTCATACCATAACTTAATAGGTAGTGAACTACCAAGACCAATCTCATCGAGCAATTGCTGTATCCATATAAGTTCACATATATAAGTTCACATGTGGATTGTGCCATGGCTCTATATTTTGATTTAGCACCGGAATGAGAGACTACATTTTGCTTCTTACTTTTCCATGACACCAAGTTTCTCCCAACAAAAACACAATAACTCGTAGTAGATCTTCTATCAATTTTAGAACTTGCCCAATCTGCAATTGAGAAGCATTCAATATGGGTATGACCATGATTTCTATACCATATACCACATTCAGGAGCTCCTTTAAGATAACACAAAATCTATTCTGAGGCTGCTTAATGGGTGGTTCGTGGGGAGACATGAACTGGCTCACAATGCTAATAGAATATGCAATGTCAGGACGAGTCACCGTTAAATAATTTATCTTGCCAACTAATCAACGATACATCTCAGGATCTGCAAACGACTCACCATCTTTTGTTGTAAGTTGTCTGTGACCATTAGTGCACTACAAGGTTTGGCACCCAACTTTCCAGTTTCTGTCAAAAGATCAAGAATATACTTTCTTTGAGATAGAAAGATACCCTTCTTGCACTTCGTAACTTCAATACGTAAAAAATACTTTAGCATTCCCAAATCTTTAGTTTGGAAATTTACTTGAAGAAAAGACTTAAGAGTTGAGGTGCCTTCACTGTCACTATTAGTAATAACAATATCATCAACATACACAACCAACAAGATAAGGCCAGCTTCAGATTGTTGGTAGAATACTGAATGATCACACTTACTTTTCTTCACACCAAATTCTTGAATAACCTCATTGAATCGCCCAAACCAAGCACACAAACTCTTTTTTAAGAGATCCTAGGCCAAAAGCCATTTCTCTTTTGCTCCTTGGGTATACACCAAATTCTTGAATAACCTCATCGAATTGCCCAAACCAAGCACACAAACTCTTTTTTAACCCATACAAGGACTTGTGAAGTCGACAAACGTTACTAGACTTCCCCTGAGCAACAAACCCAGGTGTTTGCTCCATGTACACTTCTTATTTTAGATCATCATGAAGAAATGCATTCTTGATATCTAACTGGTGTAAAGGCCAATCATTAGTAGCAATAATAGACATAAATAAACGAACAGATGCAACTTTAGCCATTGGAGAGAAGGTATCAAAATAATCTACTCCATATGTTTGAGTATATCCTTTAGCAACAAGACAGGATTTAAGATGAGCCACAAACCCATTTGGGTTGACTTTGACAACATACACCCATTTACAACTAATAGTTTGTTTTCTTGCTGGAAAGTCTACGAGTTCCCTAGTACCATTATCGTTTAAAGCTCTTATCTCTTCTTTCATAGTAGCTCGCCAACCATGATGAGACAAAGCCTGAACTAAAGTTTTGGGAACAAATAAAGAGTCTAAAGAAGCAATAAAGCAACGCAAAGGAGACAAATGTATATAAGAAGCAAACAATGAGATAGGATGAGTACATTGTCTTTTACCTCTACGAACAACAATAGGAAGATCAAGACCAGGATCTGTAGACGTAGGAGCTGGCGGAGGACGTGAGTTGTCTGGCGGAGGACGTTGAGAATACACTTGGTTGATAACTGGTTTAATGGGAACTAGATCATTTGAAGAAGAGAATTCAGCTCCTCGTATACCCGTTTAAAATCCATAAAATATTCAGTGAGAGACCTGTCTTGCTTCTCTGGGCAATAAAACTTCTCACACATATCATATATATACGATAGATATTTCCCTTGCCAGAATATAAGAAAGCCAAATAATCTAGGAGATCTTTAACCAATCACAGTGATTAACTAGACCAATCACTTTAGGATTAATAGAATCTCGAATCTGCAGGAAAATTCTGACATCTCTCCACCATGCCTTCTTTGCTGCAGCATCGAATGGTGGATCATCAACAAGGTGATCATCTTTATCAATACTATGAAGATACACACACTATTTTGCTTCAATTCAAATAGTTGGTATTATTCAGTTTGTGCTCTGTGATCTTTGTTGTTATAGGAACAACATCAGAAACCACAGCTTGTACTTCAATGTTCCTACCCTCTGGCATTACTACACTCAAAGTAGGGCAACTGACAGTAGAAAAAAAAATTGTGACTCAATTGGGCCATACTAAAAGAAAAAAGAATCTTATGGCTATGATACCATGTACGATTATTAGAGTAAAAAAATGATATTTCTCTTATTCTTAATGCATGAGTACAATGTGTAAATATACAGGTTTAGGATTGATCTAAATCCCTAGAATCAAGCTATAATTGAATGTCTATAAATCAACTCTGCAATCAGTCCTATAATTGATAGCCTTATAATTTACTTATTCTATTTAGAACAATAATCAATCCTATAATTGATTTACTATATTTATAACAGTCTCTAACTTTCTACCATTAACATGTCCCTTTAAATTGATATTTGTATGTCAACCAACAACAATTTACCAAAAACAATTGATGTTATTGACAGGTAACTAGTCATAGCTTAAAGACATTAACAACTTAATAATTAGTAGAAATACAAAGGAGATCATCTTACAGTCAAAAGCTTCTAAATTTGAGTGACAATCAACTTTGATGTGCTTGGTATGTTCATTGAAGACAAGATTGGCTAAAATATGAATAGTGCTAATGTTGTCAGCATGTAAAGTAGGATAAGACTCCTAACAAGTTTCTGATATAGAGTTGGATTAGAGAGGAGGTCCCTTTAAGCCTTTCTATACTTGACATTCACCTCCAAAGAAATGTTAACTGAACTAGTCTCCTCCAAACTAGCCAAGGTAGATAAGACTTTTAAAAAGTTTATGATAAAGAGTTGGATTAGATGGGAGGTC